TTCTCAAGAATGTTATGCATGAGAAGGATCTGGAGATTATCGTGTCACATGACCTTAGAAATTTCCAATATTCCCAGAGAAATGGCGCGGCCGCAAACAGGATGTTGGGTGCTCTACGGAGGTCGTTCACCCGTAACACCGGCAATTTTCAGAACTATGTTCACATCACATATTCGCCCGAGATTAGAGTACGGGCTTCCAGCTACCTATCCTCTCCTAAAATCTGAATGTGACTTGCTAGGAAGAGTTCAGATGCGTGGCTTGAAATCCATCACGGGGCTTCGTGATCTTGCTTACCCTCTTCGACTCAGAAAGCTGAACATATTCCCAATGCATTATCGTCGGAGCCGTGGAGATCGTATCTACAACAGAAGGATCCTAATAGCAGAACTTGGGAGTGAGGTATAAAAGCACTTTCGGTTCAACGTGGACGGCTCGACACGAGGCCACAAGTGGAAGTTGTACAAGAGACGAATACTTCACGTCCGTCCAGACGCCCTTATCAATTCGTTTAGTGAATGATTGAAACAGCCTACCGGAGTTCATTTCTAATGCATCGACAGAGGAAAGTTTTTAACGGCTGCTTGACTGCCATCAGATGAGTACCGCAGGGCTCTGCTGCTCCTAATGCAACGGCGACGATCCCCAGAAGAATGCCGCTTCGTAGCCAGTTGTGTCAAATCTGCACTAAATCTGAATCGATGGAGATGACAAATATCTCCCATCATGCTCTCTGCACACCAATGAACCAATATTGTTGGTAGTAATGGAAAATGATTGATGGAACCTCCCATTTGCGGATGAAGTACCTGTTTTGCCTTTCAGCCGCCTCAATCTAATACGACCCAAGCACGCTCCGGACACCAAGCTTTGGGGACCCTCAACCGGACGCAGACTACAGTTCTCTTCAGATTCAGATGGACTGGTACGATAGGAAAATCCCTTGAGTGTTCCTTCTTGAGCAAATCGTTGAGCAAGGAAATGATAAGGTGCTAATTCTTGATAGATCTAAAACGAAACAAACGAAACACACCCTGGTCAACCAATTACTGCCCACGTTCCCTGCACCAGCAGTCCGCGCTGTGTAGGTTACGTGAAGTAAGAAAGAAGTAGAAAGTAAATGGAAGATAAAGGGGAAGGAAAGTCATGAAAATGAAGGATAACACCAAAGAGTGAAGAGAATGACAGAATAAGAACTAAAAGTTTGAAGATGGATATGGTCAGGAAAAGGGAAAGGTTTCGTGTTGCCACCCAAGAGCGTCTAACTGACGCTCGAAACCCTTAACCGTAGGTTCACTGACTACACTTTCTGGAAGCGAGTTCCAGCGCTCAACAACTCTACGCGATAACCGAGTTTCCGCCCTGATCCGGTCAGAACGCGGCTTGTGTAGCTTCATGGGATGACCACGAAGACAAGGCAACCTAGCCGGGCTAAATAGCCAGCTCAAGTCCGGTCCAACCTTCCCTGTTAAAATGTGGTAAGGATTAGGTCTCCTCGAAGCCGTCGGTAGTGCATTGAATACATACCCAAGCTAAGTAGACGCTCGGGGTACGATTGCCCCCGTAACCCCTCGACCAATTTAGTACCTACTCTCAAAACCCTCTCAAGCTCCATTTTGTCCCGAACAAGGCAGGGCGGGCAAGCCTGGACGCAGTATTCCAGATGGGGCCGGACGAAAGCTGAGAACAGCTTCACAAATATGTCGGCAGTTAGGACCCCGAAAGAACGGCGTATTAACCACGACATTCTGAAACCCCTACTAGCGGTCTTCTTCCAGTTGTCACCAGAATGCAAAGCCGAGGAATGAACGACACCTAGGTCTACCTGGTTGGAGACAAGGGGGAGTTCGACCCCACCGAGTACGTAGCTCGAAGGCGGGAAAGTTGCTCCTATACGAAGGACGGAACACTTAGCCTGATTTATGGGCAGTAGCCACAAAGTAGACCAGTCCCAGAGTCTGTCCAGTGCATGCTGTATGGCCTCAGAACCCCCCGGAACATTTACAACATCCCATAGCTTAAGGTCATCAGCAAACAATAGGGATGATACCCCAAGCTCTCCAGGGAGATCGTTTACGTAGATGGAGAACAGCATCGGTCCAAGGACCGAGCCCTGTGGGACACCGCTAAGGACCGCTTGCTTAAAGGATAAGCTGCGACTCACACGTACACACTGCTCTCTTCCCTGCAAGAACGCAGATACCCAGTGAAGGGCGCGACCAGATACGCCGTAGGACCTCAGCTTTTGTGATAGCCTCAAGTGGGGTACCTTATCAAATGCTTTCGAGAAGTCTACGAAAAGCACATCCACCACGTGGCCATTGTCCACTGCCTCGGCCCAAGCTTCACGAGCAACCAACAAATTCGTCAAACACGAAAACCCCTTCCGGAATCCATGTTGTGCACTACTGAGTAGATTAAATCTATTCAGGTGACATTCCAACGAATCTCTCACCAGCTTTTCAAGCAGTTTGACCACGACGCTAGTCAGACTAACTGGCCTATAATTGGCTGAGACTCCTGTCGCCATTTTTGAAGATAGGACAGATGACAGCCTCCTTCCATTCAGAAGGTAATGTACAGCTGTCAAGTGATTTCTGAAACACCATTGTCAGCGGTCCACTCAGTTCCACCGCCAACTCATGCAGAAGCTTTGGGTGAATGGAATCAGGTCCAGCTGCTTTGGAAGGGTTCAGTTCTTGCAGCAGTTTAAGGAGTTGCGTTTCCACCACAGTAAACTCAGCTAAATAAGCACCCTCAGGAACTCTGGGGACAAGTTCAACGCTAGCCAACGCGGCCTCACGTACAAAAGCCCCTGCATACTGTTCCCCAAGTACACGAGCCTTATCTGAGTCCGCATACGCACGAGTTCCATCGGCCCGCATCAAAGTTGGGATTACCGAAGTTGAACCACAGCGTCTCTTAACATAAGCGAAGAACTTCGGATTTTCCGAAGCTCCATCAGCTAATTCCTTTTCGTACACCAGCCGAGCTTTCCTTAAGTGTTGTTTACACCTATTTCTAGCCTCGCGGTATCTATCATAGGTGCTAGTTGATGGAGCCGCACGGTAGGTCCTCCAGCACCTAGAACGCTTCTGGAACAGATGCTTGCCAGTGGTATCTATCCACGGCGGCCGCGCCCGTGTCTCCTTACTCCTCGCAAGCGGGATGTAGGGAGAAGACACTTCCGTGAGATAAGATTCAAATTTATCCCAGGCCGCCCAAACCGTATCAACCACCGAGATTTCGCAACGCATCCCAGCAGCCTTGGTACGCATTGCCTGATAGTTAGCATGCCATATGTTTGGAAATGGCTCAGCAATGCTCTGGTGACGCCTGGTCAGACTACACCTGAACGATAAACAAACATGATCACCAGCACCTAATGGAGAGCTGTAAGTGATGTCCCTTACGAAATCTAGTGACTTGGTAAACACTAGATCCAAAATAGACGGGAGTTGGGCATCCATGTACCTAGTGGGGAGGTCTACGAACTGATGCAACGGTAGCTGTAGCGTAAGCTCAAGTAGATCTGCCCCGAAAGTACCTTCTGACGAGTTGCAAGAAAGATCCGCCCAGCAAACTTCTGGTAGATTGAAATCCCCCAGTATCAAACACCTGTTTCCGGATTGGAAGCGAATAAAGTCAAGCACCTCTTTGGACGCACTCCCAGGGCTTCTATACACAAGTACGACTGTAAGTTGAGCTGAGGAAGTGTTAATCACTACCGACAGCGCTTCGACAGTTTTATCTGCCGACTGAAACATGTAGCTCCATGTAACGTCAAGTTCACACCTAACGTAAATAGCAACGCCCCCGCCTTGTCGGCCAACGAAGCGATCACATCTAAATAGTGCGTAGCCAGGCAGATACATTGAACATTGAACATTGTATTTGATGGGAATAAAAGCTGGAGCTTTACATGACCCATAGGGTAAAAAGAGTACGGGTCGGATTTAATGAAAGGCCAAGCAACCTTATAGCGGGTTGGACTCGCGTGTTAGCCGTATCTTCATCGGGCTTATGTGGCATTTAAAACAGAATGCACGCCGGCTCAAAGCGAGACATCCCACCACGCCCTCCGAAACGGCTTTGGAAAGAAAGTAGGTGGAAGAAAAAAAAAAGAAAGAAATTCCATCCAGTAGAATGTAATTAAATTAGGGAATATCGCGGTGTAGCTCGGCCAGATGACAGTCCAAGCGGGCCTTAAAGTCCGCCACAGTGGGTGCCAAGACTAAATCGGCCGGCAGAGCATTCCACGGTCGGCAGATTCGCAAAGAGAAGTAGTGTCGTCTGCAGTTCAGCCGACTGTGCTGACGTGTGAGCCTCAGTGGGTGGCCACGTAGGTGGGAGCCCGATTGGTGCAGTGTGAGTAGGTGGCGACAGGGATGTCCAGGGTTGGATAAGATCATGAATACGAGAATCAGGTCGCCCCGTAGACGTCGGTACTTAAGCGAGTAGAGACCCAGGCACTGAAGTCGTTGTGGATAATCTAGGTGCTTGAGACCTCGGACCAGTTTGGTTGCTCGACGTTGTGGGGCTTCGAGTATGCGTTGGTCCTTCAACAACCAAGGGCTCCAAGCCTGAATAGCGAACTCCAAGTGGGGTCGGAGAAAAGCGTTAAGGAGGAGGCGGAAATTGCTGGGGTCAATTTGACCGAAGGCTCGTTTCAGCAATCCCACCATGCGGTTAGCAGCAGCAGCTGCTTTCCGGCAGGAAGCGGATACGGAAAGACTCGTCTGGGTAATGATACCCAAGTCTCTTTCGGCCGAAGAGATCTGGAGGATAGACGCTCCCAGTTTCAGTGAATGCAAGTATATCGGGATGAGACCCATCTACAAGCAGACCTATCTCGCACATCTTATTCTTTAGGCTCCGCACATTGCTTAGCACTATCTGAAGGTAATCGTAATGTCCAGCCGCACAGCAAACAAACCCCAATAAATTCGGAAAAAAGCATGAAGGCAAAACCGCACCCGACTGCAAGGTTTTGAACTTACCAGCCAAGAAGTCATACCTAATTTGTATTTTCTATATGTGAAGCGTTCAATCAAAAAGCATTGAGGCCTAGATACGAAGCGGAAGAGGACAGGCCGACAGTGCTACAGTAGGTTGGGTAAATTTACACCAAGTGCGACTGCGAATAGCCATTCGTTCCGAAATTGAGTTGCGTTGCAACGAAGATTCGGCTAAGGAAACGAGCGCAATACATTTAGCGTGAGCCCTAGTGCATTATTCAAGCAAATGTGCAGATGTGTACATTACACCATATAGCGCAAATACCTGCACGTTTAAATCCTTGGTCGAAACTGATTTTAAATAAATTAAAGCACAGGTTGTTTTCAGCGAACAGCGTAAGATGTAATTCTTTTCGCTTTTATAATTTAAGGATAATATTGTGACCAAATTTGCTGCGTTTTATCAAACCGGTGACTGCAGCAACACTGATGATTGCGCTAAAAATAGCAATAATTTGTTACGTATTCCTCTTAGGTACAGGAGACGCACTAATAGAAATCGGTTTAATAAAAAAGTATACGTAGGTGGCGAGACCCCATGCACGAAATGGGTGTCGCATTGGAGTGCACTGTGGGCTCAAGGACAGCTCATCTTGGTGATTCAAAGAGGGCGGCATTTGAGATCAAAAAATGATTGAACAAAGGTTCCATAAAAAGTGTTCCTGCTTCCATGTTTCAAAGTCGATTATGTAAAAGGCTTTACTGGTTTCAATCCTAATGTCGTGTATTTAACACCAATTCGTAAGGACGTCACCCTATCCACTAGAGTGGTGAAGGACTGGAACAGCTTGCCGGAAGCAATTGCAGACGCTCCATCCGAGGAAAGTTTCATGCGGCTGCTAGACAAACATTCGCTGAAAATGCTGGAAGCTTGCGGCTGTCACTGCAATTACGACGAACCCTCGAGGAACGTCGTAACGCAACGACACGCATCAAACCCAGTATGACACGGAATCGGTGGGGCTGACAAGGGATTTCCCTCCTGCTCTCTACAACTCAATGAACTCAATGAACTCAATGGTTGGCTCACATTTGCGTGAGTTTGTGACGCAGCAACCTGGAACGTATCCTTGACGCACTGATGTATACGCTCAGCCAAGGGAATACGCGCTTGACGCACGCTAGTTAGCGCATGCATTGTTTATAGATCTGTTTAATACTGACGTGTAAATACCTAAACGGGAGCCGTATGAAATTTTCAAGACAGATCTCAATTGCTATTTTTGCATTCATACTTGCCTTTGAGGGATATTCCATAGGGGTAGAGTGCAAAAAACGTAATGCCATCCACCAGGTTTGACCTGCTGTTATGAAGACGTGGTTCACTCCTGACTAAGCAACCTAGTCAACGGTTTTCAATTCAATGATAAGCGGAACCTTTGCACACGGCTTTTTCTTCCCATGCCCTTTCTCAGCGCACCTTGTATTTGCCATCAGGATATGCGCCGCTACTCCATTAGCGGTGGATTTATCATCTTCTGTCCTAATCTTACCCGTAAGTTGGTACCGGTAATTGCTTTTGTCAAGTATTTGGTTTACACGTGTTTGCATTTTTACTGCAGCACTTATTGTCGATTTAATCATTTACTGCAATCCTACTAACACTTTGTCATTACTAGTTTAAACGTGACCGATGCGTACTTTTGCTATGATATCGGTGGCTAGTTTAAATATGTGATGAGCACAATAGCCGCTTTGAGCTTGAAGAATGGATTCCTTGTGACAAATGTCAGAAATGGTACCAAAACAATTGCTCTAGATGAATATAGGATCTTATTGCTTTTCACGCCAGACATCCAATTGAAGGTGCTTAGCTTCCACGTTGGGCTTTTGGCAGACACTTTTTCTCGCTTGGTACATTATCGGGCTTTTGGTCTAATTTCTAATGTTTCAGCTGTATAGCATACTGCTGACAAGAGGTGTGCGCATAGACTACAAATTGCCGTGAAGTTGCTTAGTGACCTGAGCTTTCTCCTTGAAGCACTTGGTTCAAAATATGTTTAGTTACAGTGTTCATTGGAACGGTACTGGCGAACTACTGAAGTTGCTATGGGTAGACAGGGCAACGTTCTTGTATATAATAGGGATGGGTCATCCATACTTGGGGCTAAACCCCGAAGACTTCTAGAAAGGTGGCGTGTGCAGGTTATTCTTCGCATTGCCGGAATACCGTTATATGTCAGTATCAGAATAGCACATCTTTTTGGCAGGTGGATAGAAACATGTGTGGTTCAGTAGCAAGGATAGGCAAGGCCTGCCGAAGTTGGGTTAAAGAATCCTGTACACCGGGACCTACTGCTTTACATGTCTGAGTTGGTTAGGAGTCTGACCAGTTGTCGTTATCAAATAGTTCTGGACACAAGCCCATCGAAGGCAATATGTCCTCGGATAAGCCGGTTAGAGTATTGTAATACCAGCTTGGCTATAGACTCTGCGGCCACGCAGGCTGTAATTCGCGATACTGTGTCTCACGTTAAATAAACTATTGAATGATTTTATACTTTTTGCAAACCGAGGCACACCGGTGAAGGTCCGATCAAATACGCATATATGCAAAGTTGCTTTTTAATATTAAGAGCGTACGTTTCAATGAATGATATAACAGAACGGTTCGTAGTTCATTTGATGTGCATTTTGTCAGGCAATAGTACGACCAAGGAACATGAGGGCGCTGCGGTGCGAAAACTTCGGTGATAACTGTTGCGGCAATATGCAAGTACGGAGTAGTTTTGCCATGTGGTCATCCATGAGCACAGGATCCGAAAGTAAGAGCTCCGTGCAAACCTGGGCTATTAAAAGGTAGGATTGTTCGGTGTTCCATTTAACATTCTCTACGGCAAAGTCAGTTGCCCAGATTCCATACAGAAGTTTGATGTCTGCGCCAGTGTACAATGATGGACTGCGACTTTATTCATTGGCGAGTCGAATCCGCCACGTAGCAGTGTTGTTAGGCGGACATTTGTGGCTTTTTATATGGATAACGCTTAACAGTCGATAGCCCACCACGTCCTGCAACGCTGCTGTAGGTTCTTTAGAAAAGTAGTGCAGGCTGGCGATGAATCATACAGGCTGACTCAGCACCCGCTTTTCCGCAGTCGATTGACGGCCAGATTTGTTCGCCGGTTGACTGATGGGCTTAATCATGCTCCGGCAGTAGTCGCTGAAACCGGTCAAAGATGAAAGAGTATCGTAGAGTCGCATGTTGGGTGGTGCAGGTGAGTAAAATGGTCGAGTTAATAGATGCTGGCTGCTGCCTCTTCTGTGATATGTTGGTCTGGGTACTGTCGACTATGTTCAACTATCCACATTGGACTTGTTATGGGGGCGGTGAGTGCAGCGTGTCCTTGTGGCTAAATACTTCCATATCAGGCGAAAATGCCATTCCGTTGTCCAATGCGAGATGCTTAGGAATTTCTTAGCCCGCAAAATACGAGCGAATTTCCTACAAATACAACTAACCGTGTGGTGTACGTGTCTTCATGATCAAGGCAAAACACAGTGTAAGGACATCGGAAGGCCATCTGTTCGAGCGCTATTGAGGAGCAGCAAATCCGTCTATGCAATTCAACCGGAAAAGCTCCGGTTGAGTGAAGTATCAGAATGTTCTTCCAGGGCTGCAAGGCACCGAACCCAGTGGTTCGAGCGCCAGTGGGATGCAGCAAGGCTGTCTGTAGGAGTGACGGTACGCAAGATAGAAGAACCTGTCATCCGTAGTGGAAAAGTGGATCCTTGTAAATATATTATTCAAGGGTAGTAAATTGTGCTACTGTGAGTAGGAGGCGAGCTAAACCCATTTGGTTGGAGGCCGCAAGGTCTCATGTCCAGAATGGCGAAAGGAAGTCCATTTGTTACGATGAGTGGGTTCTTAAGAGAGGTGGGTTGTGCTTCATATCCAAGAGGCATTGTCACATGTTCAATCCAGCTGGCTATTGAGGATGGGTCAGCCAGTCCCGGGGGATGAAGCTACTTGTGTCGGCTGATGGAACTGTGGAAATCTTGGGATAAAGGTCAACGAACACAAGTTAGCCAAGCAGGAAGACAGACAGCAACGTCCCAGCAATGTTCCCAGACATATTTTAATTGCATCATATTCACCGCTACCATCCTACGGGATGTGTCAAGCACTTGCCTTTATCCCGTGATAAATCATTGTTCATTGTTCATTGTCCCAGAGAGCACTATCGAAATACTGGTGGCATGCAGCGGTGTCCAGCTACGTGATCCTCTGAATCCCGTGTGATTTCGTGTAGTATACATGAGTTCGAAGTGCGTGCTTTACATCACGTCACTGGTACGCCTCAGGTTGCAACCACGACGTAGGAAGAAGGTTCTGCACAAGCGCAGTCAAAGGACTGATATAACAAAGCGCATTCACGAGGTTGAGCGCAAGATACGCCTGTTGGATAAAAACAACGATAAAGCGATGATGATGCCAGTCGGCTGAATGCAAGTGGCAGCTTAGATAAAACCAAGGCCCACTAGATTGAGACGGAGTGTTGCGAATAACCAGTTCGTAAAGCAACGGTTCAAGAGGAAAGGGGAATTCAGAGTAGGCAAGGAATGGATGCATTTAGACAGCAGTGCGATGAGTAGTTAGTGAGAAGAATGACGCTGAAGTGCTCATTATTCCACAGTCTGCAAGCCGTCAGAACCTAGAGAAAAGGGCCACTTGGGACCAACCTGCGGTGTACTGGGAGTCGTTAACCGGGGCACGGTCAGATGGATAAGAAATGAAGTAAGCTCACACAACCATCCAGGATTTAAGGCGAATGCTAACATGAGGTAAACAGCAAATGCATATGAAGAGTGCTGAGGGAAGCATACTTCTATGAGTGATGGGCGAGAAACATTTTGCAATGTTTTGGATGCCGACGGAAAGCAGGAGTCAGGTCGGAGCGGAGGAGACCATACGCACAAGGATAAACTAGCACGGCATGATGAGATTAAGCCATACAATAGCGGTGGGAATAAAACGGAGCCTATTAACAGGGAATGCCATGTTCTGGATGAAGGATCCTATATGGATAGGGGAAATAATTCCAGCAGGGACCCCGAAGTAAGTGTAGGAGCAAAGCCGCTGTCAAACCAGGATCGGAAATGGCACTAAGATCTGGGAGACGCAGTTGGGCAGGAACGCGTTCAAATAGGGCTACGTTAGTCGGCGGCTGTGATTGGGTCACACAATTTTGGTGAGAACGAATATGGGGAGGGTCAGCCGAAATAAGTAAATAAATAACT